TAGAAGGGAGGTACAGGGAGATGTTTGAGGCAAAGAATAGAGAGGAGAGGACGGTAGCTGTACTGGGGAGTAGGAAGTGGTTTGAAAAGGCGGGAAGGGATATCGTTAGGATAGACAGACTGGGGAAGACATTGTTGAGCCACCTTTGGCAAAGTAGGAAGGAACGATTGGCCATCGGTGATCGGTCCTGTGGGAACAATGCTCCGTCCTTTCGAGGACGCGTGGTCAATTGTCTAACCGCTAAGGATTGCAAAACATGAGAGTACGCCCCCCCCCGCCCCCACGGCGGTAACCGCATGATGGCAGGTCCACGAGGAAACCCTTGGGGACGACAAGTTCACCTTTGTCGAGGACGTGCGGCACCCCCGCTCCTGCACCATCCTCGTCAAGGGACCCAACGACCACACCATCGCTCAGGTACTGTAGGTGTCCGCTCAGCAGCGTCTCGGAACGTTTGTTTGGCGTCTATTACCTTCCTAAGAATGTAGGGTGGTTCTCTGTGTATGTAGGGTGGTCAAGGTTCTTACACAATCCTCGTCAAGGGGCCCAACGACCACACCATGGCACAGGTACTGTTGGTGTCCGCTCAGTAGTGTTTCGGAACGTTCGTTTGGCGTCTATTACCTCATTCTTTGTGTATGTAGGTGGGTGAATTGAAGGCTCTCACAGGTACTGTAGATTCCGTTCAGTAGTGTTTCGGTGGCGTTTTGGCGTCTGTTGGCCTCCTCTCTCTCTCTCTCTTGTGTAGGGTGGTTGGGGACTGTTGTGGGTGAGCTTTCGTATGCTTTGTACCGTGCGCGCGGTGGTCTGTGTGAGAATACGTACGTACTTCTACACGGCATTGTGGCTGTTCCACGACGTGTCGGTCCGCGGCCTACTAGTGCGGGTGGCGGAAGGATGGGAAAACAAACTAGGGAGGAGGGCCGTTCATCACCGCCTCGTTCTGTTTCTTCGCAAAGCCTTGCACAACCCGAAAGCGAAGATTCCACTCGGTTGTTTGTACATGCTTACGGGCAATCGAGTCGTTGTCCACTTTTTTTTCTGTTGCCATCCACTTGGTTGTTTCTGCATTCTAAAGGGGCAATCGGTCTTTGTCCCCCCCCCCCCCCCTCCCCCAATGGTCTAACGACTACTGCATGCACGACTATGAGTACCCCCCCCCCCCTTTTTTTTTATTCCCGCTCAGATTAAGGACGCGATCCGCGACGGCCTCCGCGCCGTGAAAAACACCATCGACGACCAGGCGGTCGTACCCGGAGCAGGAGCTTTCGAGGTTGCCGCCAACTTGAGGTGAGAGAAAGTGCATCGATGGTCAAGGGCCAAACCATCCAATGACTACAGTTGGAGGAAACCAAGAAAGGAATGGGCTTTAGAATGATTGTGCATCTTTCAGACAGGTCTTGGTTTGCCTGACCATCGTGTGGATGGGTGGATGGGCGCGGGAGTCGGGTGGACAGCGGGTAGGCGAATGGGTGTGGGAGTTGGGCGATTGGGTGACAAGAATGGGTGGACTAGAACTCGGAGCGACCGGTCCCCAGCAACAAAACAGCATTTTTTTACACGATGATTAAGTCGCTCTGACTTTATTTTCTTTCTCTTTTTTGTAACCGCCAGCCTCCAGAAGTTCAAGACGACCGTCAAGGGGCGCGCGAAGCTGGGCATCGAAGCCTTCGCGGAGGCGCTGATGATCGTTCCCAAGACCCTCGCCGAGAACTCGGGCTTCGACGTCCAGGACTCGGTCATCAAGCTCGTCGACGAGCACGTGGTGCGTTGCTGTGTTTCGTTTGTTGGTGCCGTTGTTGTTGTTGTTGTTGTTGTTGTTGTTGTTGTTGTTGGTGGTGGTGGTGTTGTTAACATTTGTTTGTTGTCGTGGTCTGTTTTTGTCTCTTGTGTATTCCTGAAGAGCTACGCTCGGTTCTGTGCACAAAAAAAGTGCAGAGGCGCTGAGTTTGTTTTGATGTGTAGGCATGGCGGACCCTTCGCCGACTGCCGGTTGTCTTTTGGCAGCGCCGCCAACACCGGAAGACGCCAAGCTTGTGACGCGGCGTTTGACCGTACCAGCTTTTCGATACACTGGCACCACATGTTTCGATTCACCCCCCCTCCCCCCCCCCCCCCACTCGGTGTTTGCCATCGGGATTGGGTTTTCGTCGCTTGGCAACGACGTTGTAAAACAAGCCAATTCACTTCGTGAACTCGGCAACCAGGTTACCGTTTTTTTTTTTTACCTCGGTTTTTTTTTTTGGCGGTAACCATAATGGTGGTCGAGTAGGTCATGTTGTGCGGGGTGGAGAAACCTCACTCCGCGCAACGGGGGATGATCGCACCACGTTGTGTTAAAATGGTCAAGCTTCCTCGAGGCAGTTACACAGTGCTTACAACTGTCTCTGGAAGTGAAAGCACCAGAAAATAAATTAAGTCATACGTAGCTGTCATCCGTACGCAAGGAAGTAAGCACAAGATGCCGAACACCCTTAGCAGGATGGCAGCTCACCCTTCATGCGACTCGCCAAATACCTCACGGCGCTTCGCGCTTGGTGATGTGAGAGCCTGGTCCGGTGAGAAGCCGGCGTGCTCCGTCCCGGCTTTGTAGGGATGCGAGGTCAATGGTCAAACGACTACGGCATGCACGACTATGAGTACACCCCCCCCCCCCCCCCCCCCCCC